TATGTCTTATAGGGTTTTTACAGTTATACAATATTGCACTCAGTATAAACCCTATTATTTTAAAATGAAATGGAGATCTTTTTAAAGGTTAAAACATCATTTAATTTATGTCTTATAGGGTTTATACTGAGTACAATATTGTATAACTGTAATAATTCAACTGTAAACCTAAAAATTTACAGCCAAATTTGAAAGAGATGCATCCTACCTCAGGAAAACCTTATTGAATATGTCAATTGTGTTGTAATGATATGCTTCTTCTAAGTATGTTGTTATTAAATAAATCATTTTTAAAAATTTAAAAAAAAAATGAAGAAGGAGCTTAACTAGCATGACAAGTAGGTGTAAAACCCTTAATATAGCTTCCCTTTTATTAAAAGAGTAACAGCAAAGTTTATTATACATAATATTATCTGGCAAAATGCTCTTAATTATGGACATTTTTCTGTTTTTCAAATTTGCATGCTTTATATTAGGGATTAGGTCACCGACTGTTGATTAGAAAACATCTTTATTTATTCTTTTCCATTTTGTTACAATTCAGATGTAACCACAACTGAACTGAGATGAGGTCTTATAATTGCTCCAGAGTTTCCTGTTACGGGTTTTGAATTGTTAAGGAAGCATCCAGAGTATTTACATCTTGCTCATTTGAATACTGTCACTGATTGGTTGTAGCTTATTTGTGGTTATTCAGAACACTGGCTTCTTCAGCTGGAAATTAGAAACTAGAAATATTAAAAGACTAATCAAGCATTTGGGAGCTCCTAGTTATAAGCTCAGATGTAGTTCTTGATGGAGTCACCCCTAATGAGCCACTGTTCTCTGTTCCTCATGACCATGCTCATAAAATGACTATGACTTTTCAGGTTGTTGTACTAAAAGTCTGGGAGAACATACTACAAGTCAGTGCATGAATTCAGGAAATTAACCTTCAGCCCTAGTAGCTAAAGGAGAAATAGACACCTATAGAGAGGTGGGAATCAACTGTAGTGTGTAGCCTGTGGATTTGATTTGGCGTTACCACTTTCTATCCAGAGTGCTCTAAAATGTCATTTTCAGAGGCAGGCTAAGGTCATGAAGGCCCTCAACCAGCTTCCTTCTTGTGGCACTCTGAACTGGTCAGAGGGTGCTTCCTTAAGTACCATCAGTGTCTTTTAAGAGCTGTCAGGCTGCTGCTTCTTTAAGCAGAAAATATTCCTTCTGGGCAGGTACAGTGTCTGTATTGGGTAGAACGAGTGACAAGAAATAAGATTCTTTCATTAACTCTTTATGCTTCCTTGTTCTCCTCCCTCAGAAATATGCTCTCACAGCTACCACAGAGGCAACTGAACTTAAAGAAAGAAAAAAAAAAAAGCACCATCACAGTCAATCCTGAGCCTGGCTATTTGTAATCAGTGTGTAGCCTCTGTGATGAAATTTGTGAGTAATTCACTTCCCACACTTCCCACAGAAGCTTACCAGAGTGGGATCTATGTTGCCACCCTGAACACTAATGAAGGAAGTCAGGCAGCAGTACTGCTTGCCCTTGGGGACTCATTTTTCACATCACCAAAAAGTAATTTCTGTCATTTTCGGCCATCTGGTAGCCTGGGTTGTGAAGATGAAATTCTGTTCAAGAAATGCTTAAGAGTGTGAGCCTTGGAGTCTGCTGGGATTCTAATTCCTTTTCTGTTTTCAGTTAGTCTCATCTATGCTATGGTTTCTTACCTGTAGATGAAATCCTTATAAGACACTATATCTTTATTATAAGAAGTGATTGAAACGATGGTTACTAAGTGCACTATACATGGCAGTAGATACAGCACATGTTTAAGTAAAGGTAGCTTATTGAATTGTTAATAGTGTATTGATGATGGCAGTATTAAGAATAATATGTACACTATGTCTACTCTTTTGACACAGTGCTTATTAATTCAGTTTATGTATACCTATTAGGTATAATATATATATATCTATATATGCACTTTGATGCACTGACTGCATGTAGAAGCTTAATGGCTTTCTTAGGTGGGCACCATATTTTATTAAGACCATCATACAATTTTATATCAAATATTACTTTGTTTTTATTGAATTTGGAGGTTGTATTATATTTTATATATGAATAAATTCAAGTAACAATGATAAGAAAATTTACTGTGAATTTGTAAAACTGTACATATCTTCCAATATTTAATTAAGTAAGGCTTATCCTGACCAGAAAAGAGATAATACATTTTCATTATGTAATTACAAGTACTTCCTATACTCAGTAGGCCACAGTGGGATGTATTTTCACCTATCAAGTGCTTTAGGGCATCCATAAATGTTTGGAGACCAAATGTCAAGTGTAGAAATTAAAAGTACTCTAGCTACTCAGCACAAATTTTCACATTCAATAATAAAAACTAAAATTTACCAACTTTACTTTTATAGACCAGTGATTTTACTGATATAGTTATATATTCCATGTCCTTCTTTCTTTATAGTTCCACCAAAGATCTCCAACATCTCCTCGGATGTCACTGTGAATGAAGGCAGCAATGTAACCCTGGTGTGCATGGCTAACGGGCGCCCTGAACCTGTTATCACCTGGAGACACCTTACACCACTTGGTAAGCAACCATCTAGACTCCAAGATGACACATATTCTTTAGGAGTCTATTGGCTCAAAAGAATGAGGATGCATCTTTTCATTCAAATACTGAGAAAAATATAACATAGCTGTTGTTTAGTGTTCCCATGGTTTTTGCTAATGTGCTCATCTCTACAAGGTTTACAATCATAGTATCATAATATCTATCTATCTATCTATCTATATCTATCCATCTATCTGTCTATATATAGAGAGAGAGACAGAGAGAGAGAGAAAATTGTTTCATTCAAAATAGATTAATTCACAAGGGAACAAATATAAAAACATTCAGTAACTTGATATACCTAAAATGTATATCTTGGGCAATATGTAAGTTAAATTTGTACCGCTTTTTATAAGTTTATTTTTTTGTTCAGTTTTTAAAATGTAGCACCACATGAATGGATAGGAATATTACAGAAAATCTGTGGTTCCTCAGTCTTAGATTTGATCTAGCTCTGTGATGCTTGTCAGATATGGACCAAGGTATAGAAGATTATCACTGATACAAGATGATAAAACTAATTCAGTAAAATTCATAAAATGGTTTCTCAAGAATGTCTTCAGCATCCTTCTTTTCCACCTTCTGCCACCTTCATATTAACTATGTCCCTAGGCCCTCCTGCTTTCTGAACATATTTAAGCACTTAACCACATTATTAAGATTAATTGCTTGCATCCTTTAGTAGTATTTCAACTATTTTTTCTTATATGTAAAACTATGAGTTTGCACATCACACTGTGTAACAAGGTACTTTCTCTTTAATTGTTCCAAAATGAAGATTGTGTCAATTATGAATCAATTGCAGAATCGTTCTTCTAGAACATCCCTTTTACTTTATTAAATGGCCCCAGTGTTACCTGCCTTAGATCTGATATTCTCCATAAATGTTTTTAGGCATTTCCTCTTTACAGTAACTGTTTCGGAATGAAAACCATTGAACATGTATAAAGCTAGGCATACAGTGAGACCTATCCTGAGATATTTATAAAAGGTCAGGGTAACATTAGACTAATCTAAAAATTCCTATATTTTTGTATTTTTGAGTTCAGATAATATGGGACCGTCATTTAACATCATACTGCAAATTAATTTCCAGGGAAAATTCAATCTGTAGAATGGTCTTATAGCTAGGCAGATATCTCCTTATTTCTTTTAGAGGTCTCTTCTTTTCTTTTCTTTTCTTTTTTTTGGGGGGTGGTCTTTTTGAGATAGGATCTTCCTGTAGCCCCAGCTGACCTGGAACTCACTATGTAGACCAGGCTGTCCTTGAACTCACAGAGATTTGCTTGCCTCTGCCTCCCAAGTGCTGGGACTAAAGGTATGTACCACCACACCTGGCTTTGAGGCCTTTACTTTCTTAAAAACATGCTGCTCACAACTCATCCTCATTTAATGTGCATCTCATTGTGTATTGATAATACACAGAAGCAATACATGCCACACTTATTTGGGGGATCAACATCAAACTCATTTCCTCACAGATTTATTTTGTACCTCACAGGAGAAAACATGTGGATGGTGATTCGAGGCATAGACTTAGAGCTGTCATATTTTTGTCCTGAAATAAGTTAACTCTACAGAACACTTTCTTTCTGGAAATATCCTATTTGTCCCAAACCCACACCACCAACTCTTTCCTAAGTATAATAACATTGTTTTTGCCTATTGGCAATGTGGTACAAAATTTTTTGAATAATTTCTCAAAGGCAACATCTAAAGTTATTGTGTTTACTATAATGTCATTGAATAATTATTTAAATCCTTCCAGAATTTCATTTTGAAAGGTCTTTTTCAGGAAATTCTTTGTTTTCAATACTTATACTGATCTCTTCCTAAGCAATGGTTTTGAGTTTCAAACAGATCCAGAGAGTTGTATAAATTGCCATGAATCTTTCATTGCATTGACTATTAGTAAACTTACAGCCCAATTTATGGCTTTATCTGCTAAGAATGTAAAGTATCATATATAAATTACAGATTAATAAAATTTATTTTAAGCACACTCCTTCAGTATTGATGGAATCAAATTTATATACAGACTCCTGTTTTCATTCGATTATTTTTATATTGTCTCACCTTTTGTAATTGATTTTAAATACCTGTATTTTATTTATAATGATTTAATATTTTAAAGAGCAAAGTGGTAGATTAAAACTTTTAAATGTAAAGTTAAAAGAATATATTTTCATGTTATAATGAATGATTAGTCATATCAAGATAGACATTTATTGTATATCTATTGAGTAATAATTAGTATTTTCAGGTGAAAATGAAATAAAGGATAAAAATGTTCTTTAATTTTAGAAAAATTCTGATATAGAATCAAATCTTTAACGCTATTACTAATTTGTCATTGTGCTTGGTCTATATGGCCAAATCTAACAAACTTCTCACAATAAAAAAATCTGACTTGAACCTTGAATAGCTTGGTTCTGAGTAATGGCTCAAATAGGCCAGAGACCAGAGGACCAGTAATACCCTGCAAAGTAAAAGCAATATTTTCATATATTTACAAAACTCCAGAGACTTCAAAATTAACTACAAAATATGATGTTCTCTTAAGGATTCTCAATAGACAATATCCAGGGTCAGCAAGCTATAGCCTGTGGCCCAAATCCCATCTGCCCCACTCATAAACAATCACTGCCTACAAGCAAGAATGGTTATAAAATACTAAATAGTTGTGAATAATCAAAAGAATTCTAAATTTGGTGTGTCAGAATTTATTACCTCAAACTTAAGCACACATACATGAAGTTTTGATGAAATACAGCCATGCTGAATCATTTGTGTTTTGTCTATGGATGTCTGTGCTCTAAAATAGTAGCCATGGGTAATTGCAGCAAAAATATGTCATCCACAAAGCTTAAAATATGTTCTATTTTGCCCTTTAGATAAAAAATGTCTAAGCCCCTGCTTAAGACCATAGCCAGAGACACGTGACAAATATTTGCTAAATTCATCTCCAGTCCTTAGAGCTTTGGAGGTATCCTCTATCAAGTTCCTGCAAGTATCTCAAAAAAATGACTCAACTGTCCTATAGTATTCTATGCAGGCCCTCTCAATGTGCCAAATTTTATTCTAATAACTGAAAACTAACTCCTTGATGTATTTTCAAACTCTAAGTTAGACCACTGTTCCCATTACATTTCCCAAGCTGCTTTTTCTTTCTTCTCTCACATATGGCCTAAATAATCACCTAATTAGAATCATCTTCCTTGTGACAGGGGTGAGAGCTTGCTTGCACTATTCTATAAAAAAATGGGACGTGTTGTGTGTGTGTGTGTGTGTGTGTGTGTGTCTGTGTGTGTCTGTGTGTGTCTGTGTGTCTGTGTGTGTGTCTGTGTATGTGTGTGTCTGTGTGTCTGTGTGTGTGTCTGTGTTTCTTTTGAAATTTGTAAAATTGTGATCCTTTTCAGCCAATCGTGAACAGTCTTTATTGGAGTCACCCAAGAAAGATACTTGCTCCCTATGTGACAGCAGAGCTGCCTGAAAACCATCACCCACCATGGGAGGGTGAACAATCCAGCTGGCTTTGCTCAATTATTAATTGTGCCTTCCACAGTGCAGAGTGTGTCTGCCTTCCAGAGTAAATGTACCTGTAATTAGCTTGACCCCACAGGGACATGGAGAACTCAAAGAAGACGATTCCATGCAGGGATCACAAATGTCTGATTATTTGTCATCTGATGCCGTGAGAAGAGGAAAAGAAAAGATGTATCATATATCTTTGTGGAGAAGAGTATTATCTCAATTTTGTTCTTCTAGTTCCTCTGTTTTGTTTCTCTTCTTTTGACATTTGAGGTTTCTTTTTTACATATATGGCAAATGCTTTTAAAAGGGTAAATTAGAAGAATGATGAACTTTTCATATATTCAAAATCAAAACCTCACTTAGATGGAGTAGAGACAGATGCATTCTGTGTGTCTTTCTCATATTTCTGATTTTTTAAACTTTTCTCCATTTCAGTTATTTATTTTAATAGTCAAAATGATATGTCACATATGTAGTTATAAAATGTGACCTATTTTCTCCTTTAATTAAGTTAGACTTTCATAGTCTTGTGGCTCCCGAGGGGCAATTGCACTGTAATATATATTTTCTATGGTGCGTTTGATCTCCCTTCTGTGAGCAATGCTGCTCCATCTTCATATAACTGCTTCTGAATCTTTTTTTTTCACATTTGTAGGGAATCCCCTTTCTCCAGTGTGCCTCATGTCGTGTCAGGATTGCGCAGGGCTGCAGAAAGGGTTTCTGTACATTTTGCTTCTACACAGGTTTTCACAACCTCAGTAGCTTTGTCACCCTGAAAATTCAAAAGGTACACTAAGGGTTTCACCCCTTAGGCTGAGAATAGCTCAGAAGGTGCTGTGTAATTTTCCTGTCCAGCCAGAAGCTAGGTTTGACATCAACAGAGAGTGTAGAAAGCTAACTTAAGAAATATTTTATATTTAATGGGGGTGAGTGGGAAAACACTATGCTGCAAAGAAGGGACTCCAAGGAATCTGAAAGACTATTTTCTCATTAGATACTGGGCTTACTCGTTTGCTCTCACATTCCCACTTTAGTTCACTGATAGCATTCTCAGGTTTATTGAATGTGGTTCCCTCCTAACTGTGTAAATTTCCCTAGATGGGTCAACACTAGCTGATCAGCTCTTGTTTCATGGGTTTGGACAAAACGTGTGTTTAACTGAAGTCATTACTTAAAGTCAAATTTCAGAAGTACATGTGAGTAGCTATTATCTGGCCTTTTGGGTTAACATGTTACTTTAGTATGACCTCATATTTAGCTCAGAGAGCACATGATTTTTAGTTCAAATTTTATAAAATAATTTCTCTGGGGTTTTCTCCTGTGGATCTTCCAAATTTTTCAGTGAGTGGATTTTTGCAGACTACAGATATGGAAGAGTCAAACCTATATATTTTTCAGGTAAAGGCTACTAACTCCTTACTCAAGCAGAGTAAATTCAACTT